TTGACTTCCTCCTTCAGTACCATTAGTTCTAGATCATATGCCACTTCCTGAAATGGATGAAGATCAACCAGTTCCTTTTGGTACAGTGATTCTGTGTATTCCTGCCATCTTCTCTTGATGTTTCCTGCATCATTCAATATTTTGCCCATATATTGGCAAATTCCATCTGGTAAGGTACAAGTGCATAGTTGCCATTTATGTTGTTGGAAAAAAAACGTGTTTGGAATGGACACATCACTGGTTTTGCAAAATTCTAACATGTGATCTCTGACATCATTTCTATCACCAAGGTCATATTTTCCAACTACTGATTCTTCTTTGTTTTCAACTTTTGCATTCCAATCACCAGTAATAATCACACATCTTGAATGCATATTAGGCCAATTTCAGACTGCAGAAGTTGGTAAATATTTTCAATTTCTTCACCTTAACTTTAGTGGTTGATGTGTAAATTTGAATAATATTAGTATTAACTAGTTTTCCTCGCAGGGTATGGATATTATCCTATCACTGACAGCATTGTACTTCAGAATAGATATTGAAATGTTCTTTTTGATGATGACTATAATGTCATTCATTCCATTGTCCTTTCATATATATTTTCGTGCACTCCACTATATCTCAGGAGTTAAGAGATAAAATCCTTGGCTCTATCTTCTCCTACAATTTCATATAGAAAGAAGCCCTTTTGAGTCTTTAGGGTTCATTTTAATGATCTTTTCTGCCCTCCTCCTTTGTCCTGAAGTACTCTGGCACCTGGTCTACAATCTTCCTCTTCACTTTTTCATTTTAAATAGCACTGTTTCAATCTTGCTTCTCTTACTCATCCCCCACCATCACCTCCATCCTCTCATATCTTTTATGCATGATTTGAAATATGGGTAATTTTATTTCTACATATGTATATACAATATAGGAGTTCTGGGTGGTACAAATGGTTAATGTGTTTGGCTACTTTCAGAAAGGTTGTTAGTTTGAGTCCACCAAGAGGCACCTCAGAAGAAAGGCCTTGCAATCTCCTTCTGAAAAATCAACTACTGAAAACCCTGTGCAACACAGTTTTACTCTGACACACATGGGGTCTCCATGAGTCATAACTGACTGGATGGCAATTTGTTTTTATATACAAACATGTACACATATTTATTTAATTGAGTGGACGTTCCATTCTAGTTCTTGGTTTCAGATGCCACACAGTTTTTGTTTGATGGTATTTTGTTACCTGCAGGATTTTCACAGCATTGCTTTTTTCTACATTGGGAATATCTTCACGGAGCCATGTTGGTATTATCAATAAGATTCTTCTTTTAATTCTAAAAAACAAAAATGCCATATTAGAAATATTTTACTTTAGCATTGATACAGATAATCATAAAGGAAATTAGGAAACCAATTAGGAATGCATAATAAAAAGCCAACTTCTTGATGCAGGAGCTAAGATTTCCACCTCTTAAGAAAGTTAAGTGGCAAGTTGATTCAATATATTTTCAGAAGTCCTCTTGTCTTTGTCACTCTTCTAAAAAGGAGGAAAATTTCAAGAAATTCATAGGAGATTCAAGATAACATTCCTAGTCATGAAATTGTACATGCTGAATATGGCAAACTATTATAAGGAGGAGATGTTAGTGTGGAAATGAAAAACTTCAGGGATATTTTGTACAACTGTCCAAGGTGAGCATAACCACAGTAAAGTATTAAAGAACAGAATGTTATATAGTAAAACCTTATAATCTGAACTCCTCTAATTATGAATTTGTAATAATTCCAAATAGGGTACAATGATAGTGATGGTTCCAGAATTTCTTTACATGGATGGAGGAAAGGCTGGAATTTGTCTTCCAATTGAGTAGTACAGTGAGAATAAGGCCTTTACTTCCACCATGTACTTATTAAAGATCACTGGAGTGCAGATGATGAAAAGAAGGAGAAGTTCTCAATGCCCTACCTCTTACTTCAAGCTAACCCTTGGCACTGTTAGAGCACTAATCAGAAATTTTCTGTACAAATTTGTTTGAACAAACAGGTTGTATCGGGAACTTATAAGAGACCAAGGTGATTTAAGACACATTTTTTACCTTATGGACTATTAATGACAGGTAGCCTTATTTCTCTATTTAAGCAGGCTCTCTAAGAAATTCTACTAAGTAACAACTGAAATAGCTGAATAAATTTTGCCAGCCTAATGTGTTCTTGAATGTTAGAGTAAAAATTATTTCTTTACACATATTTGTACAGTGTTTTATGATTCAGCCTTTCCAATAATTCACATTCTTTTTTATGCCTGAAACTAGACCCAATTAGAGAGGTTCACTACTGTTAGGAAAGTTTTTAGACACTCTACTGATAGGCAGGGCACACTGTTATTAGGACCTGTTGAGTCAGCTCTGACTCAGCAACCCTTCGTACAACAGAACAAAACATTGTGTGATCCTGAGCCATCCTCACAATCCTTGCTATGACTGAGCCCATTGTTGCAGCCACTCTATCAATCCACCTTGTTGAGGGTCTTCCTCTTTTTCACTGCCCCTCTACTTTACCAAGCATGATATCTTTCTCCAGAGAATGGCCCTTCTGAAAACATGACCAAAATAGGTGAGACAAAGACTGGCCATTCTTACTTCCAAGGAGCATTCTGGCTGTACCGCTTCCAGGACAGATTTGTTCATTCTTCTGGAAGTCCATGGTATTTTCAGTATTCTTTGACAACTCTATAATTCAAAGGCATCAACTCTTCTTCAGTCTTCCTTACTCATGTCCAGCTTTCACATGCATATGAGGCGATTGAAAATACCATGGCTTAGGTTTGTTGTTGTTGTTGTTGTTGTTTGCTGTCAAGTCAAACCCATTGCACTGGGAAAATCTGCTGCAAAAGACCTCTTTAAAGTGTTAAGAAGCAAAGATGTCACTTTGAAGACTAACATGGCTTAGGTTAGGCTCATGTTAGTCTTCAAAGTGACATCTTTGCTTCTTAACACTTTAAAGAGGTCTTTTGCAGCAGATTTTCCCAGTGCAATACAATGTCTGATTTCTTGAGTCCTGCTTCCATGGGTGTTGATTGTGGATCCAAGTAAAATGGAATCACTGACAACGTAAATCTTCTCCATTTATTGTGATGTTACTTACTGGTCTAGTTGTGAGGATTTTTGTTTTCTCTGTATTGAGGTATAATCCATACTGGAGATTGTAGTCTTTGACCTTCCTCAGTTAGTGCTTCAAGTCATCTTCACTTTGAGCAAGAAAGGTTGCCTCATCTGCATATCACAGGTTGTTAATGAGCCTTTTTCCAATCTTGATGCCGCATTCTTCTTCACATGGTCCAGATTCTTGGATTATTTGATCAGCATACAGATTGAATAAGTATAATAAAAAGATACAATCCTGATGTACACCCTTCTTGATTTTAAACCATTCAATATCCCCTTGCTCCACTCAAAGAACAGCCTCTTGGTCTACATACAGGTTCCTCATGAGCACAATTAAGTGTTCTGGAATTTCCATTCTTTGCAATGTTATTCATAATTTGTTATGATTCACACAGTTGAATGCCTTTGTGTAGTCAAGACCAGGTAAACATCTTTCTGCTGTTCTTTGTTTGCAGTAAAAATCCATCTGACATCAGCAATGATATCCCTCTTTCCATGTCCTCTTCTGAATCTAGCTTGAATTTCTGAAAGTTCCCTGTCAATATGCTACTGCAACTATTTTGAATTACCTTCAGCAAAGTTTTACTTGTGTGTGATATTAATGATATTATTCAATACTTTCCACCTTCTGTTGGATCACCTCTCCTTGGAGTGGGCACAAATATTGATTTCTTCCAGTCAGTTGGCCAGGTAGTTCTCTTCCAAATTTCTTGGCATAAACAAGTAAGAGCCTCCAGTGCTGCATCTGTGTGCTGAAACATCTCAGTGGTATTCCATCATTTCTGTAGCCTTGATTTTTGCCAGTTTCTTCAGTGCACCTTGGACTTCTTCCTTCAATACCATCAGTTCTTGATCATTTACTAAAATGGTTGAATGTCAAACTAGTACTTTTTGGTACAGTGACACTGTGTATTCCTTCCATCTTCTTTTGATGCTTCCTGCATCTTTCAATATTTTGCCCATAAAATCCTTCAGTATTCCAACTCGAGGCTTGAATTTTCTCTTCAGGTCTTTTTGCTTGAGAAATGCCAAGCGTGTTCTTCCCTTTTGATTTTTTAACTCCAGGTCTTTGCCCATTTCATTGTAATACTTTACTTTGTCTTCTCTAGCTGCCCATTGGATCTTCTGTTCAGTTCTTTTATTTCAGCATTTCTTCAATTAGCTTTAGCTACTCTATATTCAAGAACAAGTTTCAGGGTGTCTTCTGACATCCAAATTGCTCTTTTCTTCCTTTCTTGTCTTTTAATGACCTTTTGCTTTCTTCATGTATCATGTTTTTATCTCATTCCTCAACTCTTCTTGTCTATAGGCATTGGTGTTCAATGTGTCAAATCTGTTCTTCAGATGGTCTCTAAATTCAGGTGGGATATATTCTAGGTTGTATTTTGGCTCTCATGGACATGTTTTAATTTTCTTCATCTTCAACTTGGGCTTATGTGTGAGCAGTGGATGGTCTGTTTCACAGTCAGCTCCTGGTCTTGTTTTGACTGACGATATTGAGCTTCTCTGTCACCTTTTTCCACAAATGCAGTTGGTCTGATTTCTGTGTATCCTGTCTAGCAAGGTTTATGTCTATAGCCACCATTTATGTTGTTGAAAAAAGGTATTTGTGATGAATAAGTTGCTGGTCTTGCAAAATTCTATCATACGATCTCCAACCTGATTTCTATCACCAAGGCCGTATTTTCCAACTACTGATGCTTCTTTTTAGTTCCCAACTTTCTCATTCCAGTCACCAGTCACCAATACATCTTGATTGCATGTTTGGTCAATTCCAGACTGCAGAAGTTGGTAAAAAGCTTCAATTTCTTTATCTTTGGCTTTAGTGGTTGGTGTGTAAGTTAAAAAAAAAATAGTAGTATGAACTAATTTTCCTTGTATGGCATGAATGTTATCCTATCACCGACAGCAATGCAGTTCAGCATAGATCTTGAAACATTCTTTTTGATGATGAATGTGATGCCATTCCTCTTCGATTTGTCATTCCTGGCATAGTAGACCATATGATTATCTGATCCAAAACATCAATACTAGTCCATTTCAGCTCACTAAGGCCTAGGATATCAATCTTTATGCATTCTTTCATGCATTCCATTTCACTTTTTACAACTTCCAATTTTTGTAGATTCATACATCATACATCCCACATTTCAATTATTAATGGATGTTTGCAGCTGTTTCTTTTTCCCATTTTTTTTTTAATTTTATTTTATTTAGATTTGGGTGAAGATTTACAGAGCAAAATCACTCTCGATACAGCAGTTCACATATACTTTGTCTCATGTCATTGACCACAATTTACCACAATGCAACAGCTCCCCTCCAATTTCCTCCCCAAGGTACCACTTCCCAGTGTCCATCCCTCCATACTCTCCTGCCCCCTAAGCTGTCTCCCTGTGCATAAGGTGCCCTTCCTTCTCCCATGATTGTTCTCTCAAGGGCATGTGTCCACTTGAGGTAAATGTTCAACTCACATACCTGTACTTTGCTTGGCTGGAAACCACAGGTGTGGTCTCAATTCCAGACCTGAAGGGTAGCTAGGGGCCATAGTCTCAGTGGTTCCACCAGGCTCTATTGGACCAGCAAACCTGGTCCCAAACATCCCCCCCCCCTTTTTTTTTTTTTCCCTCCAATCTTTTTCCCATTTTGAGTCATGCCCTATCAATAAATGAAGTCCTGAAAGCTTTACTCCATCCACGTCGTTAAAGTCAACTCTACTTTGAGGAGGCAGCTCTTCCCTAGTCCTATTTTGAGTGCCTTCCAACCTGAGGGGCTCATCTTCTGGCACTATATCACACAATGCTTCAGGGTTATTCATAAAGTTTTCCAGTAATATATCAGATAGTGTTTCATTGCTATTCATAAGGCTTTTAGTGGCCAATTTTTTTAGAAGTGGATGGCCCCATCCTTCTTGCCAGACTATCTTAGTCTGGAAGCTCCACTGAAACCTGTCCACCATGGGTGACCCTGCTGGTTTTTGAAATACTGGTGGCATAGCCTCAAGCCTCACAGCAACATACAATCCACCACAATACAACAAACTGACAGATGAGAGGTGGAAATAATGTACAGTTATATTAAATAATTTTAAAAAGAATGCATTCTTAAATAGCTAAATTAGAAAATTTTTCTAATTTCATATCTGTCATTACCAATTGAAAGTTATTTCTTAGGTTATTTTAGGTAATCACCTTAGGTTTCTTTCTTTCTTTTTTTCAAACTAAGACATCTTTGAATAACACAAATATTGATATTTTATGTAGTACTAGCTTAAACATTAAGCTATCTCAAGAGGTTTTATAATCAAGTGTATTTAAAATCATCTAAAATAAAGTACATATTCATTTGCTCACCTTGCAAGGGCATTATGGATTTGTTTATTAGTGTACAATTTAAATTTTGAAGTATTGCTTAGGTTCTGAAGGAAAAAGCTACATAAATTTTAAAAATATATTAGTATAATTTACTCAGAACAGCTAACTTAAAACTTTCTACTGTATTTGAATTATAAATTTAAAAGAAATAATCTCAAGAAGCAAATGATGGCAAGAAAATGAAACTTAGTGCCAATTTGTCAAAGAACATTAATATGTGTCAAAATTTGGAATTGGATATACTGAGAGATTGCATATTAAACAACTCATATATTAACAGGTTGGAAACACTCCATAAATCTAGTGAAATTTAGAAAAGCAAAACCATACTTTCCTCAAAATCTCACTTGTCCACAACTAGACAAAGGTCTTTCCTAATATTTACTGTAAAATAAAATGCTTGAAGGAGGCCAAGGAAGAAGGATTAAGGCTGGATGCTGTAATACCAACACAATTGGGAACAAAGTGGCAATTCAAGTGTGCTTTCACCATACTTCTCTTCACAGATTTGATTTGTTGGGATAGAATTTGCTTCAGCTAATTTCTCAGACAGAATTTCAGGCACATTATGACTTAACTCAGAGTCTGGCTACACAGTGATTAAAGCATTCAGCTGAAAAAATTGGTGGTTTGAACCCATCAGCCGCTCCATGGGAGAAAGATGTGGCAGTTTGCTTCTATGAAGACTTCCAGCTTTGGAAACCCTATAGGGAAGTTCTACTCTGTCCTACAGGGTAGCTGTGAGTCAGATTCAATGCGATGGCAAGGGGTTTGGCTTTGGTATGGTTTAACTACTCTAAACTATCCAGGCACAATGAAAAGGCTGTGTAGTAAAGGTGAAAACATGGGCTTTGATTCAGGTAGTGGCTGGATTCCTGGCTTAGTGTTTATTGACCTTGGCTGAGTATTTAGCTTGCTTAAGTTATCTGCAAAATAGGCCATAAAGCTTTTCAGGCAGAGTTAATGTGAGTGTTAAACGAATGGCATTTGTAAAGAATTTGGCATGTGTAGTTTCTCATAAAACATTGTCCTTTTTATCTTTCCTTTCCCCGAATAAAAAAGTAAATGGATTTTTTTTTAAGCGAATAACTGAGTTGACTTTAGGTTTTGGTGATAGATGTGTATATAAGGAGCTCTGGTGGCATACTGCCTAAGGCATTTGACTGCTAACTAGAAGGCTGGTGGTTCAAGCCCACCAGCCACTCCTTGGAAGTTTGGGCAATCTACTTCCATAGTGATACCGCCTTGGAAACCCAAGGAGGGGTCACTATGACTTGAATCCGACTCGATGGCAGTGAGGTTTACTTTTTTTGGTTTATTTGTTCATTTGTTTGGTACATAGTCTAAACCAGAAAACAGAAATTCTACAGAAACTTACCCAGTTCGGAGTGATCTGTTAAATATACCGATCAAAGAAAGAATGGACAACATAATGGCAAAGAAGACCATTCCTAATAAAAGTCCAATGTCTTGTTGTTTATTGTCTGAAAGGAAAGAAAAATAATTTTAGCTACAGCAATAGTATCTGTGTGATGACAGAATAATTGTCCTCTTTACTCTGCTCAAAGCAAATGTCATTGAGCTCATAGAAAAAAAGGGAAAGAGGAACAAAATTAACCATTACCTGGGACTGTGAAGTGACTGACCTTCTAAACTGCAAGAATAAACCCCAGGAAATAACCTTTTATTTGAGAAAATGGGCTGCACATATCTGATATCAGTGGGTTTCTAGAAGTGCATCTCTGCAGATGTGGTCAGCATTAGACATTTCCCTGAGCTTACACATGCACATTTTATTTAAACATGCTTAGTTATAAATCTCATTTGGTTTGTCTAACATGGGGGAGAATTCCCATTTGCTTGTCATACTGTCTAAAGTTGGCTATAATCATAACTGAGGTTTTTTTTTTTTTAATTTTTGTGCTAGACAAACAAAATTTATGCAAAACTTGTCACCATTCTTCAAACTTTGTCACTTATGAATTTTTTCCTGCTGAGAGAGGACATTCACTCTACTTACAACAATATATATGTAATAAGAAAGAAAATTGCTACTTATCTTGTGTTCACATTTTATTTGAAAAACTTGCTTTTTAATTTTGCTTTTTGCACGTGAAATTGAATCAATAACCTGAAATCTTTAAATAATTACCATAATATATCCTACTTGTGTTACCTCCCAGGGTCATCACATTTTTCTCTGGTACATGAAAAACCTTATTTTTGAATATAATCAAGACATGACTTATCATATCAGAATTTGTTCCAGAGCCATGATGGAGGTTGGCTCCTGTGATGGTTAATTTTACATGTCAATTTGGCCAAGCTATGATTCCCAGGAGATTGCCCAAATACTAGTCTAGTTGCTGTCATGGAATTGTTACACATGATTAAATCAGTTTATTGGTAGTGCAAATTACCTTGTGTACTATAATATAACCACTTTTCATAACATAATCTAATCAATTGGTTGAGGTCATATGGTGGATCCTAAACCTAATTACTTCTGATTATAAAAAGATCAGAATAGCCACAGAGACACAAATGGATGACATGTGAGGATCATTTATGAGCAAAGGAACACCAAGGATCATGAGCAGTTATCAGAAATAGGAGAGAGGCACACAGAGGGAATTGATGCAGCTGAGACCTTTATTTGGACTTTTAGTTTCCAGAAATGTGAGGAAATGAATTTCTGTTCTTTAAAGACAACTTGTGGTATTTCTGTTATGGTAACACTAGGTAACTAAGACAGCCTCTCTTCCATTCCCTTTCCCTCTTCCTTTTGCCCAGCAAATGGAATACTTATTGGATACTTACCATGTAGCCGGCACCATACTGGCCCTGCCCTAATTATTTTCCAGTTGTATCCACCACACACTTGGGAGTCTCCAGGCTGTCCAGTCTCTCTCTTAAAGCCATCAGGGAGCAGAGAGCTGTATAGCTTTAACTCTGTCCAAAGTCCCAATAGGATACGGAATTACGGTTCAAACCCACCAGCCACTCCTCAGAAGGAAGATGGGGCAATCTACTTCCATAGTGATACTGCCTCGGAAACCCAAGGAAGGGTTGCTGTGAGTCGGGTCCAACTCCACGGCACATAACAACAACAAAGCTAATAAGCTATTACAGTCCCTAAGTGGCACAAAGTTTGTGTACTACTATCAACCTAAAGGTTGGTGGTTCAAATCCACCCATGAGCACCATGGAAGAAAGGCCTGGTGAACATCTTCTGTAAAGATTGCAGTCAAGGAGGATCCAAGATGGTGGACTAGGAATATATACCATCTAGACCCTCTATAATGGACTTGAAAAACCAAGTGAAATGGATATGGATGACAATCCTGGAACCCAGAGCTTAAAAGGAAAGGATAAAGAAGTAGATCAAATACTGTTGAGAGGAAGAGACTGAATGAAAACAGTGAACAAGGAGGGGTAAAGTGCCACTCCTTTTTGAATTAGTGCAAGCAGCCTTCTGAAAGGAGCAGTAACAGATCACCAGCTTCACTTCTCTAGGGCTGCACCGGCACTTACAGCCATGATTGGAGACCAGAGAGTTGTTACCTCTCCCCTTACCTTGCATAACCTCCTGGTAACCAGAGGTGTGACCTCCCTTACCCACCTGTGGTGGGTCAAACACCTACACACATACTGCCAGTTCTGTGCTCTTATTATTATTTTTAATCTTTCTTTTTAGTTTTTCTTTCACACACCCCTTTTCTTTTTTTCCTTTCCTTTTTTTTTTTCTTCCTCTTTCCTTGCCCTTTAGCTTTTTTATGGATCCTGCAGAGCAGACACCCCTTCCCCCATTAGCAGCCCTCCTCTGCCCCTCCCTGGTCAGAAGTGTGCACTTCTGTGCACCAAGTGTTGCATTGCTGTGCAGCCATGTTTGGTAGCTAGCACACTGGCCAGTACTATGCTGCTTTTTTTTTTTTCTTTTTCATTGTGTACGTTTTCATTTTTTCCTTCTTTTTAGTTGTTCCTACTTTTCCTCCTTGTTTTACTCTTTCTTTTATTTTATTATTCTGTTCCCCTACACTTGTTTTTTAAATTGATCTCATGGAGTGGTTGCCCACCACTCTCCTCCACAGTCAGCAGTGCCCATCCCCACCCCTCCGTGGATGGTGGTATTCACTTCCCTGGAGGGAGCTCCACATTCTTGCTGCAGCTATGTTTTGTGGATATCACCTGCACCATTTTTTTCCCTCTTTTCCTTTCTTCTTCTCAGTTCTTCCCTCTTTCCCCTTCCTTGTTTACTTCTTTTATTTCTACCTCTCTCTTTCTGCTTTTTTCTTCTTTCTCTTTTGATCCAGGTGAGCAAATGCCTGCCCTCTGCCACCTCCCACATTCAATGGTGCCCAGTCCTCATCCTCCATATTCATCAGTGAGCATACCTGTGCAGTGAGTGCCAATTTTCTGCCACAGTCGTGTTTGGCAGCTAGCACTTGTACCAGTACTGTCATATGTCCTTTTTTTATGCATTTTATTGAAATATAATTTATGTACAGTGAAATACACAAAACTAAAGTGACATAGCTCAATGCATTTTTTTTTTGCAGTGTTCTCTTCCCTCCACCCACTCCTCGCAACCAACAAAGTTTACTTCCATATATAAACCTTTCCTTGACTTTTTACAATAATCAACTAATACTCTATTCATCCTTCTGTGTTTGACTTATCTCACTCAGCATAATGTTTTCCAAGTTCATCCATGTTATGCAGTGTTTTGCAGATTCTATATTATTCTTTAGTGCTGCATAGCATTCCATTGTATGTATGTATCATAGTTTGGTCATCCCACTCTTCCATTGATGGTCATGTAGGTTGTTGCCATCTTTTTACTATTGTAAACAGTGCTGCTATGAACATATATTTATTCCTGTCCTGGCTTTCACCTCTCTAGGATATATACCTAGTAATGAGATTGTTGGGTCAAATGGTATCTCCAATTCCAGCTTTCTAAGGAATTGCCATACTGCTTTCCATGGTGGTTGTATCACTTCACAGTCCCACCAGCAGTGTATGAGAGTCCCAATCTCTCCACATTCCCACCAGCATTTGTTATTCCCTGTCTCGTTGAACCTTGCCATCAGTGCTGGAGTGAGATAGTATCTCATTGTTGTTTTGATTTGCATCTCTCTGATGCCCAGTGATCATGAGCATCTCTTCATGTGTTTGCTGGCCACCTGAATATCTTCTTTGGTGAAGTGTTTATTCATGTCTTCTGTCCATTTTTCAGTTGGATTGTTAATTCCTTTGGTGTCGAGGCATTGAAGTTTTCTATAAATCTTAGATAAGTCCCTTGCCAGATATGTAATTATCGACAAGTATGAATTTGTTGCTGTCATTTTGTTATGTGCTTTTTCATACTGTTGATTTCTTTGTTCCATATAATTTTCTCTGCTGAGCTTGTTTTGTTTATGGATTGTGTTATCACTTCCTTTATTGCTATTGTTTTAGCATTTGCTAAATATTTGTGGTGGTCCTCTTTTTTATTTTGATGTGAAGGTTTATCATTTTTCTTTGAGGTTACCCTGTGATTTATAGTTTTTTCCCAAGTTTAGAACAGTCATCTGTTCTATCTTGTAGTTGTCTTGACTTCCCTACAATCTAGAAGTTTTGTAACTACACATTTTTTCCCCTCTTTTTGGTTTGTAGTTGTCCTCATTTGTCAATTAATGTCTCTGGTTACATGTTTACAATCTCATAGGCTTATTTACTTTGGATACTTCCATAGTTGGCTTGGTTTCTAGGTTGTCATCATGTGTGTTAATGGTCAGTTGTTGTTTGCTGTTGTTGCTTCTCTGTCCAAAGGACTTCCTTTAGCATCTCTTGTAAGGGTGGTCTGGTTTTAACAAATTCCCTTAATTTCTGCTTATCTGGAAATGTCCTAATTTCACCATCATATTTGGGGGACAGTTTTGCTGGGTATATAATTCTTAGTTGGAAATTTTTCTCTTTCAGGGTTTTATATATACGATCCCAGTGCCTTCTTGTCTGCATGGTTTCTGCTGAGAAATCTGAGCTTATTCATATTGGTTGCCCCTTGTAGTTAACTTTTTATTTTTCCCATGCTACTTTCAGGATTCTTTTCTTGTCTTTGTTTTTGATAAGTTTGATGATGATGTCTTGGTGATTTTTTTTGAGATCTATCCTGTTTGGGGTTCATTGGACTTCCTGAATGCTATATTCTCATATTTCATCATACCAGGAAAACTCTCTTCCAACAAATTTTTGAAAATTTTCTCTATGGTTTTATTTGTCTCTTCCTGTTCTGGAATTCTGATTACACATAGGTTATTCCTTTTGATGGTATCCCAGATGAACTTTAGGTTTTTTTCATTTTTTTTTTTTATCTTTTTTCTGATTGATCCCTTTCCCAAGAAGTATTGAGGTATTAGCCTTCAATCTCACTAATTTTGTCTCCCATTGATTCACTTATACTCCTTTGACTGATCAATGGGTTATATATTTAGTATTAATC